ATATATATATATATATATACACACATATATATATATATACGTGTGTGTGTGTGTTTGTGTATGTATATATCATGTGCTTTTTATCTTATATTACTACCTTGAAATACTTATTCATTCAAATTCATCCGGCTGTACCAGAATATTCTACCATTTTCTTGTTCAATATCTCTCTTTAGGACATTGTAAATATAATGACTTTTTCACGTTTTGGGACTTTTTTGTGTACCCTTAATGCATGCTTTTAGTATTTCTTGTTGGTTTGTTCTTTGATTTTTTTAGCCAGTCAAGTCGGTTCTTCTCATTCTAAGCATTTCATTGTACTGTTAACCCTGTGTTAACCTTGCATATGACAAATAAACACAACTTGAATGACAAATAAAGAGACTCTGACTCTGATTTTCTCTGATTCTGAGTTACACAACTGCAGCTGAAAACCTGGGAGATCTGGGGGCATATTGTTGAAGTTGTGATGATCGTCTTTTACAAAGTAAGCATTTTAATGTAGTGAATGCTCTGAAGGTATTCTGATTGATTTGAGATCTAAAACACTCTTTTCCTCAACATAAAAAAGCAGATCAACTTTGAAGCTTGTCTCATTCTGCTTTTCACTTTGATTAAAAATGTGCATCAGGCTAAAACATTGTGAATAAAAGAGTTTTCTCTGGGATAAAGTAACATTTAATGTGTAAAATATAGACCAGGGCTATTCAACAAAACTGCTCAGGGGGCCACATTTTCTGGAAGCTAACAGCTCGGGGGCCGGACTTCCAGCGATTGTTATTATGTAAATAAACCAAAGTTTACAGTTATCTGTTACATTTTAAGTTTGTTTATTTTATTGCATTGAATCATGAATGCAATAAACAGAAACTAAAACCCACACCCAGAACCCACCTTTTTTATTTTTTATGAAGTCATCTGGATTCAAGTCACCCATGGGCAGGAAATGGCCCACGGACCACCAGTTGAATATCCCTGATATAGACTATCACAAATGATCCCATTAATAAATACACTTCTTTTTTATTCTTCTTCTTCTTTCGGCTGCTCCCTTCTTCAGAGGTCACCACAGTAAACTGAGTCGCACAAAGACTTGGCAATTATTTTTACACCGGATGCCCTTCCTGACGCAACCACACAAACAACCGAACTACCACAGCCCTTTGTGTGGAGCAGAGAGCTGCTATCTAGGGTGCCTATGGGGGGTTAAGTGTCTTGCTCAAGGGACCAGAGTGGGGCAAATGAGGGTGGAGGCAGGTGTGGGTGCTTCACCTATCCCACCCACATTTTGATATTGTCGGCACCGGTACATGAACCAGCGATCTTCCGATCACAGGCCCACCTTCTCTAACCTCTGCGCCGCCACTCCCCTTAATAAATACACTTCATTATAATGTTCAAATTTTCTTTTGAAAAACTGATGCAACATCTTCTAATACACTATGGTAATATTTAGCATCAAATAATGTTTTTTTCTTATTCCAGTAATTCATTTATTTCATAAAATACCAGAAATACACCATTCCATTAACATATACTGTGATTCTTAATAAAAAAAAGTTTAATTTAAAATGTTCTGTTAAAAAAAAAAGATCATATTTTTATTTTAGCTTTTATCTCCATAAGAAATAAAAGTTAGATACTTATTGCAAAGCCATAACAATGGGACCTAAATAAATCTACAGTAAGTCAAAAATTGCATCGCAAAACCACTGAAGCGAATTCTTTTTAACTGCGCCATTTCATTTAATTCAGGATTTATTTATTTTTTTCATACTTTGCAAGGAGTACCTCTAATCCACAATAGACATATTGTGGATTAAAGTTCAAATAATCAAACAATTTCAGATAATGAACTTGTACTCAGATGTGCGCACAGTTTTGAAGGATGAAAAACTATAAATGTAGATGAAAGTTAAATAACGTATTTTACCTGCTGTAATAGAGGCTAAACGGACATAATCGTAATCCCTCTGCACTGTCTCATAGGGATAACTCTCCACAAGGTTGAGTCCTGAAAAAAATAGATCCATACAAATATTGGTTTAAATGAACAATTCAAACATTAATACTGCGCTGTTTTATTTAGCTATTGATACTTCAAGGAACTGAATCATAAGTTATATAGGTGATTTTGTAAGAAAAATGCTGATGACTAAATCCACACACCATGAATGATGGACTGATGAAGACTCCAGTAGATGCTCAGGCAGTTCTTTTCCTTCTTCATTCCCCGTTTACACTGACAGCCATGCAACGGGCTGGACAGTAGGGCGGACACTGCATTGGCACACTGGCTTCTGGCGCCTGGACCGAGCTTCATGCTGCCGTTGCCAGCTACACACTGACGCAAAGTTCGTAGACGTGGACTACATGTCTCATCACTGGAGCACAAGTCTCCAGCCACCAAACAGTCTGTGCCGGCCAGAATAACATCTAACAAAGCTGCAGGAGAGGAAATCAGAGTACAAAAGAGCAAAAAGATTAGGGGGAGTTGAGAGCCCTCAAAAGTCAGCTTGGCATTCAGGAATATAAAAAGTGGATAAACTCAAAAACATTTTTTAAGGAATAAATCTAAATTGTTGTATGGTAATGAGAATTATGTTAAATCAGTCAGAGCCTCATTGTGAAATTCTGGAAACGTGCAAATGCGGAGGTGAGGTTCTCTTGCAAGTATGCAATTATCATAGCACGGCTCTCATACAATGTGCTGAAATTTTAATGGGTTTAGCTCTTTCTTTTTTCTCTCTCTCTCTCTCTACAGCTTCAAAAGCTTGGATGAAATGTGAATTTTAAGTTAGTTAAAACACTGGAAAGACATCAGACTACTTTGTTTTTACTGTTGACAGAGCGAAAATGAACGAGTAAAGTTGACTGATCAGTGTAATTAATATAAATATATTAAAGTAAATAAATAAAATGTTCTTTTTACAAATTACTTTCTATCCTTAAAATCTTTTAACAGCCACCCCCCAAAGAAGATAAGATTTTAACTCTCTTTACCCCCACTTTTATACTGCATGGCACTTATATTCCAAACTTTCCCAGATCCTGGAAAAAAAAAAAGTTTTGTTTGACTACATTATAATTTCTACATGTCAAGGCTAACAGCTAGTGAACATTCATCAGCAGGGACCAGAATAAAAAACAATAACGTGCATGTAAATATCTGTACTAAATATTTTCAGGTTTTAGGCCAATATACAATGTATTGCTTCCATAGGGGAATAGAGTCTAGGTGGATGTAGGTTTTGTTCTATCATATTAATTACATAAATACATTTAAAACCCTTAAATAAATGGAAAAAAATCCCAAACCTACCCAGGACATGTTCTTTTCAAACAATACAAATTCTCTCTTTTTCTATTGTAGAACCAAAAAAAGCTGTTGAATGAAGCAGATCGGATGTTGTTGAGGTGCATAATTCTGTTCACATATACCATATTTTTCTGACTATAAGGCGCACCGGATTGTAAGGCTCTCTGTCGATTTTTGAGAAAATTAAAGGATTTTATGTGCGCCTTATAGTCCGAAAAATACGGTATTTGGAATCATAGTTATTTCTGTTCTCATTTGTTGGTTCCTAATTTAGAAGGAAATGTAATATGCTAACATGTAAATATGATGTTTTCCTAAACCTAAAGAAATAGCAACATAAATTAAGGTTCTTAAATGGCCCCAACCACCACAACAGCAACAAGTAATAAAAGTTCACTATCATCAGAAATGTGCACTTACTAAAATGGCATGGTTCAAGGTTTTTAAGCACATCAACAAAGAGAGATTCTGCACAATCAAATGTGACAAATGCAAGACTGAACCCCAATATGCCATGCGTTAATGTTGTGTTGCCTTTAATGGGTAATTGTACACAGTTGTGTAATAGTACACTTGTATGTCTTATAAAGAATTGTGTTAACTGTGAAAATAATGGCTTGAAATCTAAAGAATGAATGTGTTCAACTATTGTGTTCAAAGATCAATAGTGCCAGATGTGTTTTGACACTAATTCCTTTCTAATCATTCGTTCATTAAATTGTCTTTTCTGTTACTTTGGTTCCCAGTTGTACTGCAAGACTTAAGTATATTCAGTGGATCAGAGGTCTTGAATTTTAGGAGCATTATGCACAAAAATGACATAAGATGAAAGATTGGACTAGAATATTTCTGTAGTAATGATTCAAAATGAAAGGTAAAATGTCAGTTAACAGAACAAATTATCTAGTGTTTATCAAGCCACAAAGGATGACAGATAAAGAGAATTACAACTTTAATGTATGACTGGAATTATTTTTTACCTGGAAAGATATTAATATTTCCAGTGTCTGTTATTTGTGTGAGTTAAGGACTTTTACAGTTTTCAAGTGCAGTCAGACAGCTGGCGAAACTCAGAGATATTTTATCCTCTGTAACTCTAGTCGTATTAATAAAGACCTTGATTAAAAATTCAAAATCATAAATGTAGCCATTCATCATCAAAACCAAAGTGTTATTGGTAAAATCAGGAATAATAAAAACAGACCTTGATACATAAAAAATAATGATCAAGGGATGGAACTTCATGAAATAAAAATGCTGAATGAATAAGCAGTAGTGTGCCAAGTTCAGAAGATGTCATCAGTGATGCTAAAGGTCATGGCCTAAACCTTTTCAGTATCAGACCATCATAACAGAAAAAAACTGACAAGAGGAAGGTGGTTCTATAACCGCACTGACCTGCCTGCGTCGCTCAATGTTGTGTTTTAGTGAAACTACAGAGAACTTTTATGTTTGAAAAACTCAGTCCACTTTATTTCAATCACACACCTGCTATTAGGGCGGCTGTGGCTGAGTGGTTAAAGCAGTAGAGTCAGACCTCCATTGCACGACTACAACTGGTCCAGAATGCAGCAGCCCGATTTTTAACCAGTACAGGCAAAAGAGAGCACATTACACCAGTTTTGGCCTCACTGCAATGGTTACTGGTTCACTTTCGAATCCAGTTCAAAATACTCATGTATGTCTACACTCACTGAACAGTGTCGCCTCCCCCCTATCTCTCTGATTTGCTACAATTGTATGTCCCACCACGTTCCCTGAGGTCAGCGGACCAGTTGCTCCTCACAGTTCCAGGAACTCGTCTTAAGCACAGAGGTGACAGGGCCTTCTCTGTAGCAGGACCAAGACTCTGGAACGAGTTACCTCTGCTTGTCAGACAGGCCCCCTCCCTCTCGATTTTCAAGTCCCGTTTAAAAACTCACTACTATTCAATAGCTTTCAACACCAAATGATCTGTGTTTTGATCCTGTATGCTCCCCACTGGTTTGTCGTCATTATCTGCATCGTTTTTATGTCTATATTCTGATTTACCTCATTTTGTATTTTGCTTTGTGTGTTACCTGTTGTTTTGTCTGTACAGCACTTTGGTTGGCCTTGTAGCTGTTTTAAGTGCTCTATAAATAAAGTGGTATGGTATGGTATGGTATAGTAGTCCTCCAGTGCAAGAGTTGGGGTTCGATTCCACCAGCAGTCACATGCCGAAGTGTCTCTGGTCAAGACACTGATCCCCTCATTGCCTCCAATATGTGTCCCATTGGTGTATGAACGTGATCTAAAGTACTGATTATTCTTTGTATAGATCTAGTAGAGTGCTGTATGAATGGGTATATGAGGGCACAAATTGTAGTGTAAAGTGCTTTGAGTATTTTGATAAGACAGAAAAGTGCTGTATAAGTGAAGTCCATTTACTATTACTCAGTACTCTTCATCAATATAAATAGGCACAGGTAATAGTAAAGGTGAAGAAACTGCCACCAATGGGGATGGGAGTACAAAGACATCCACATTCCCCTTTCTTTAGAAGTAGCAGTACCAACAATTTTCATTATAAATATTTCCTAAAATGTTAAAGTGCCCTTTTATTTTTTTTATTTTTTGAAGTTTCATAAGTTCAGTCTATCTGGTGATTTTACAATATGTTGCAACTGCTACATGTCTGCTGGCTTCCTTAGATAGAGAACTTTACTAACTGGCTTTTCTATGTATGTGAATGTTTCTGTAAACTGCCCTGAGACAACTTTGTTGTGATTTGGCGCTATATAAATAAAGTGAATTTAACTGAATTGAATTGAATCTTCTCAGCACAAGCAATGTATTGGTCTGCTCAGCTGATCCATCACTTTTTGGCTCAGGTGGTGATAGGTGGATCATCATCTTCATGTTGTTGATGTTTCTCATGTGTTTTCAGCATACACCTACAATTTCTTCTCAGGATATGCCCATCTTCTGTTTTTACAGTGTAGGGTCTCTGTGCAACTTCCTCCATCATTGTAGCTTTTTTTTAACTACAGATGTTGGAATCTTCCACAGTGTAGATCCTGGTTAGAGGAGCTGAACTCATTGAAGATTTGTCATAGTTAGATTTTTGTCTACTTTCAAGATGTTACCGTTTCTGTCTCGCCTCTTTGTCCCTTTTATGTTGAGCCATATAGGGTGGCAGTAGCCTACATCCCATAAGAAGCACAGAAGGAGATTTATCATGTTCCAGTGGTGAGGCTCGGTACCTCAGTAAAGATAAATAAGGGGCAGATCTGCTGTCTTGAGCCTTCTTGAGTAACTGCTTGACAATGTGAACTCTTTTCTCAGCTTTTCCATTTGACTGGGGATGCAAAGGACTTGAAATCAAATGTCAAAAATCACTCTTTTGTAAAACTCTGGAACTCTTTGCAACTATAACAAGGTCCAGTGTCACTGTAGACAACATGAGAAATTCCATGTCTCACAATTATTGAGTTAATGCTGCTGTATTCATTCGTACCCATCTGCTTACACAGACTCATGTTTGGGCTGCTGTTGTTACACCGTATTGTTTTGTATTATTAGTGTTTAGTGTATATCTTATATATTTTAGCGTACTGTTTGGCGTTCGTTTAGCATATATCTTAGTGTATCTTAGATCTTGATTTACTGTTTCTTTTTACACTTTATATTTTTGCTGTTGCTGGGTGTAACTGGGACCCTGTCCTGTGTACATAATTTCGTTCCACCTCATGTACCACATGTCATGAAATGACAATAAACTTACTTGAACTTGAACTTAATGTGTTTGATAACACATGTACAGTAGCAGACATGCTAAGAAGCAGCACCATCTCTGGATAGTTTGAAAGGTAATAATCACCAGTAGATTTTTATTTTCCATCCAGCTGAAACAAGTCTGCCCCAACTTTCTGCCAAGGTTCATCTGGTAAATCTTATTGCCATTGGCTCTTTTGGCTGCTTTGCCTGGTATCTCAGACAGGTGTGACAACTTGAGGCCATCCTGTCAATATCTGCATGTATTCCTGACTGGTAAATTGCTATTCTTGCATGTCTTTTACACATTTCTATGTCACAATGCCCCTCATACAGTCTTCTCAACATATCTGTCTTCATTGATTGAGGAAAGACAATCCTTTTCTTTCTG